GTGAAATACGCTAGTCACAGAAAGACAAATACTGTACGAGTCTACTTGTGTAAGGTACCTGGAGTGGTCACATTCAGAGAGACAGAAATAAACAGTGGCTGCCGGGGGCCAGAGGGAGAGGGGGGTGAGCAGTCGTTGTTTAAGGGGTACAGAGTTTTCGTTTTGCAAGATGAAAAAGTTGTGTGGATGGGTGGTGGTGATGGTCGCCCAACACTGAGAACGTACTTAATGTTACTGAATTGTACACTTGGAAATGGTTAAGAGGTCAATTTTGTGTTATGTGTATTTTACTACAATTTTTTTAAAAGATCACTGGTGGCTAATGACCTTTAAGGAGGCTCTCCAGAAGGTTGCTGGCTCTTTCTGGGGACTATTGAATCGCGAACTCTTAGGTTCCAGTCCAGCAGGATCTGTTCTCTACTCTGGGGGAACAAACCAACAACAACAACAAAAAAAAAGTGTGGGGGAGCAAGAAGCCTTGAAGATTAAGGAACAGCAGAAGAAAGCAGTCCCCTCTCCGGAGCCAGGACATGCCGCCCACCCCTCCACTAGGATAGGGCAGCACTATGGTCCATTTGTAACCAGGGGCTCACGGGGACTACGACCTGGAAGGTGCACAGCTCTCTATGTCACAGATGAGGAGACCGAGGCCCAGAGCAGGGAGTGAGTGGGTAGTGTGTGGATGGCCACAGGCCTGGCTGCTTCTGGTTCTTCCCGCCCCTCCTCCTAAGAAACTGAGCCGAGAGCCCAGCAGGCTCTCGGGTGATGGCAGGGCTGTCAACTGCAGCACATTGCCTCCCGGGCAAGGGGGCAAGGGGAGCAAGAGCAGTGCCTGCCCAGAGGGGCCAGCACAGACGCGAGTAACACGGCAGGTGGCGGAGTGTCTCTAGGTGCCTCTCACAGTTTCTCTGCCCTGACAGTGTCCCAAGGCCTCCTCAGGGGGAGGAGCCCATTTCATTAACGCACTTGGACGTCAGAGATGGAAATCGGTTCCTCTAGGGTGTTACAGAGAGCCCGGTGCTGAACGTCCAGAGACGAATCTCAGCCCTTGGATTGCCACTCAGGGCCCGTAAGAGATGGCCCGACACTTGAGGGTTATTGATGAGGAAGGGCCCTCCCGAGGTTCTGAAATCATGGGTCCCAGACTTGGGTCCCTCCCATTCCACCCGCACAGTTTCTACGGTGCTTTGGGGCCCGACACTTGAGGGTTATTGATGAGGAAGGGCCCTCCCGAGGTTCTCAAATCATGGGTCCCAGACTTGGGTCCCTCCCATTCCACCCGCACAGTTTCTACGGTGCTTTGCGCTCCACTTGTACATATCTTTAGTATTTCTCTTTCTATCGCCTTACCTTTTAAATTTAATTTACATTATATATTATTATTATTATATTAAATTGTATATTATCATATATTAAAAGGAAACTTGATATCACTACTGTATATGGAAAAGCAGGTTCAGTTGCCCTAAATAGAAGGTAACTGTAAAAAGAGATGCAATGACATCGGACAGTTTTAAAATTGGAGCTGGACTCCATTGCCTGCGGAAGGCTTTGAGCCTGAGGCCTGCTCCTGGTTGAGAAGGGGGCAGTCGGCAAGTGTCGCTGCGGTGTTGGAGAGAGGCTCCCAGCACCCTACTCTGCTTTAGAGGTGACTGGGATTAAACAAGGACAAATCATGAATACCCTTCTCACTAGTCACTGTTCTTTGATGAATCTAGTGGATCTCCCGCAAGGATCTTGGGTCCCATACTTTGGAAACATTCCTTTATACAGTACAGCTCAGGCAGCTGCACGTGGATGGGTCCTGGGTGTGGTTTAAGGGTTCGATAAGAGGTCCTTGCTCTAGGGAGTGACACTAACTGTTGCGAGAGGAGAGCGGAAACAAAATGAATAGAACGCAGACCATATACAAACTCTGAAGTGCGGTGACATGTGTGCTTGGACACACCTCACAGAGGATCTGGGCTCACCTGAGAGCCTCTTGTGCAGCAGGTCGCTCTAGGGAGTGACACTAACTGTTGCGAGAGGAGAGCGGAAACAAAATGAATAGAACGCAGACCATATACAAACTCTGAAGTGCGGTGACGTGTGCTTGGACACACCTCACAGAGGATCTGGGCTCACCTGAGAGCCTCTTGTGCAGCAGGTAGAGCCCATTTGTCACCCCTCCCCACTGTCCCCTCCACAAACCCAGGCAGGAAAAGTTTTTACTAGTTTGGGTGAATCACTTAACTTTTTGTTTGCTTATTTGCAAAATGGGGCAAAGATACCTATTCTGGGTATCCCGTGAGAGTACTGTAAGGACAGGACTGAATAACAGAGAGAAATGCAATCTCTCCACTGTGGGATGTGATTGTCATGGGTAATGGATGCTGAGCACTGAGGTGAGTGAGTTGAGGGGCTTTAGGGACAGAGCATGGGGTGCAAGGAGCTCTGAGAAGACAAAGGTACGATCTGGTGGCCAGTGGGCCCCTGCTCTCAAGCAGCATGTGCAAAGTGGAGTCAGGGCAGTTTGGAGGCAGCAGAGTCCTGGGCTACAGCCAGCCTCTGAACAAATCTCACTCTTCCTTGGTCCAGCTTTTACAGGAGAACCTACTGCCTGAGCTGCAGCCACACCTCAAAGAAGTGGAAAAACCAGCAGGCAGGGGGCTCAAGGTGGCTTTAACAACCTCCCTGTGCCCTTCCAGGTACCAGGATCATCTACGACAGGAAATTCCTGATGGAGTGTCGGAACTCACCTGTAACCAAAACACCCCCAAAGGACCTGCCCACCATTCCTGGGGTCACCAGCCCTGTCAGTGATGAGCCCCCCACGGAAACCAGCCAGATTCATCTGCACAATAGCCCAGAAGATAAGCAGGCAGGCGGTGAGTGGCTGTGCTTGGCCAGGCTCCCCACTGAGAAGGGGACTGTGTGAGGCCCCTAGGCCCCACCCACTAGGGGCAATTCCAGGGATGGGGAATGATGGTGACTCTGCCTCAACCTCCACCGAGCAGCTCAGAGTTTAGAGGGTGGGTATAGGGGTGGGGAGGCAGAACTCTCATTGGTACCAACGTTCTTCCTGAGAGGAACCCAGCAACCCAGGAAAGGTGATTAGCACCATCCGGTAATGTAATTAGTGGGGAACTTCTCTGAAATGGCATTGGCTGTACACAGCAAACTTTCATAGGCGTGCCTCTCTCTCTGTAATTGTCCCTGAAGCAACACCGTGATATTCATGGTGCCAGAAACAACTTATCAAAGACATAGTGTACTTGCCCTCGAGGCAATTACACGCATACAAGATAAGAAATACATTCAGGATGGCTCCTGTCGGGGTGTTTGTCCCCAAGTGGACTCTTTATGAAGACAAGTAGAAACAATGCTGCCAGTTGTTTCTGCAGGTTTGACATTCACTAGCTGTGTCCTTCCTGGTGTCCCCACCCAAGGAACCAGAGCAGCCACCCTGGCAGTGGTGTGTGTGAATGTACTCTTTGTGGCATCATGACTAGCTTGCCATGGCATCTAAGCTCTCCGCTGCCGGAGAATGCAGTGTGAGCACTTGCAGACAACTTTAGTCAGATCAGAACCCTTTGACCCTTCACCCAGAAGGCAGTACACCAGTCCCAGATGGGAAGCAGCTGGGGCTTTGGGCTGGGCTTGCTCTGCTGACAACAGCAGAATCCGTTTACCCAGCGCCTGCAGGATATGATTCATAACTACCTTGGGAGCCTCACAGTCTAAGACAGGCAACAGTTTGCCTGTGTCTTAGTCCATTTTCTGTTGCTGCAACTGAATACCTGAGACTGGGTAATTTATAAAGAAAAGAGGTTTATTTTTTGCTTATGGTTCCAGAGGCTGGGAAGTCCAAGATGAGGTGGCCACATCTGGTTGGCTTCTGGTGAGGACGTTGTGCCATGTCATGGCGTGTCAGAAAGCATCACAGGGCAAGAGCAGCATGAGAGAGAAGCACGCTGGCTTCTGTAGCAGACCCACTCTCGTGATAACCTGTCAATCCATTGTCCCATTAATTCGTGAATGAATTAATCTATTCTTGAGGGCAGAGCCCTCACAACCCAGTCACCTCTTAAAGACCCCGCCTCTTAATACTATTGAGTTGGGGATTAAGTTTTGACATGAGTTTTGGAGAGGACATACATTCAAACCATAGCACTCCACCCCCAGACTCCCAAAACTCATGTCTTTCTCACATGCAAGTACATTCATTTTATCCCCCTAGCCCCAAAGTCTTAACTTGTTCCAGCACCAACTCAAAAGTTCAGAGACTTATCTAAATCAGATATGGGGGAGAGTCAGCATAGTTCATCTTGAGGTAAATTCCCCTCCACCTTGTGAAATTAAACAAGTTATGAAATTAAACAAGTTATCTACTTTCAAAAATACAATGGTGGGTAAAGCATAAGCGTAGGATAGATATTCCCATTTCAAAAGGGAGAAATAGGCAAAAAGAAAGAAGTAATAGGCCTCCAGTAAGTCCAAAACCCAACAGGGAAAAAAGTACATTAAGTCTTAAAGCTGGAGAATAATCTCCTATGATTCAGTGTCCCACATCTTGGGGACACTGGTGCAGGGGTTGGGTCCCAAGGCCTTGGGCTGCCCCCTGCAGCTTTCCTGAACCCGTGCTTCAGTTTGATTCTTGCAGGTTGGAGTTGGGCGCCTGAGGCTTTCCCAGGCTAGCATTGTATGCTGGTGGCTCTACATTCTGGAGTCTTGGAGGCAATCACGCTCCCATGGCTCCACTAGGCATTGCCCTAGTAGGCACTCTCTGCAGTGGCTCCTCACTGCAACGAGTCTCTACCTGGACCCCCAGGATGTTCGGTACATCCTCTGTCTCTATAGCTCTTGCATTCTGTGCACTGGCAGAATTAGCACCATGTACTTCCTGTGTCCTCCAGAGCGTTGGCCCAACCCCCACCTGGAGCTGTTTGAGCCACAGCTGGAGTGGCCCAGGGAGCACTGCACAGAAATTCAGAGAGCAGACATGCGTGGAGCAGCATCCTGAGAAAGCCCATAGGCACAAGCTCATGGAGGGCACCTTGGGCCTCTTCCCTGCAACCATTCTGCCTTCCTAGGACTCTGAGACCGTGATGGGCGAGCAGCCTCAAATATCTCTGAAATGCCTTTGGGGGTCTTTCTCCCACTGTCCTGATGAATAGCCTCTGGCTTCCTTCTATTGGTACTAATCTCTTCAGCCCCACCCAAACATGCTTTTTTCACTTTTTACATAGACAGGCTGCAAATTTTCCAAATTTTTCTACTTCATTTTCCTTTTAATTAAAAGTTTTGTCTTTAAGTCATCCCTTTATTCCCAAATCTCACTGGAAGTGGTCAAAGGTAGCCCTGCAGCATCTCAAGCACTTTGCTGCTTAGAAATTTCTTCTGCCAGATATCCTAGCTCATCACTCTCAAGTTTGGGCCTTCCCCAAAGCCCTAGGACATGGACACAGTGCAAGCAAGCTCTTTGCAGCTGTATAACAAGGATAGCCTTTACTCCAGTTTCCAGGAGGATGTTCCTCATTTCCATCTGAGGCCACTCAGTGTGGCCATTACTGTCTAATTTCTATCAGCATTCTGATAACGACCTCTTAAGTAATCTCTAAGAAGTTCTAGACTTTCCCTAGTCTTCTTGTCTTCTGAGCCCTAACCAGAATCATCCTTAATGCTCCATTTATGGCAACACAAGCTTTTTCCAGCATTCACTTCAAAACTATTTCAGCCTGTATACCTATTACCCAATTCAAAGCCACTTCCACATTTTCAGGTGTTCATTGTTAACAGCCCCACTTCTAAGCACCAATTTTCTGTCTTAGTCTATTTTCTGTTGCTATACCAGAATACCAAAGGCTGGGTAATTTATAAAGAAAAGTTTATTTAGCTTATGGTTCTGGAGGCTGGAAAGTCCAAGATCAAGGGGTCAACATCTGGTGAGGCCTTCTTGCTGCATCATAACGTGGTGGAGGACATCACATGACAAGAGGGCAAGGGCATGCTTTTCAGCTCAGGTCTCTCTTCCTCTTTTTGTAAAGCCACCAGCCCCATCACATGGTCATTGCACAGTGCCTCCCACCTGCACTTTTTGCCTCAAAGCAAAGACTGGATGTTGAGGATGGAGCTAGTCCACACCTGAAATTCACCACCTGAAGGCTGTCATTTGCCCCACTTGGATACCTCCTTTCTTACCAGTTTCTAAAGCTTCTCTGGTCTGATGTATAGCAAATGGAGGGTTGGCCCAATGGTACCCAAAATAATGTCCTAGTAGTTCTACACAGTTGTTAAGACGGGGTGGGGGTGGGGGGGCAGACGTGATTTTCATTTTGCTTAACTGGATATAAGATGCCAGTGCTCATGCCCTTGGACCTGTGTATTTGCATAAATATAACCAGGAAAAAAGGCTGGTTGTTCCCTATTGTGGGCCAGAGCGAGGATCTTGCTACACAGAACCGTGGAGCAGCCCTGCCCAGGAGACCATGAATGAAACAGTTCCATTAAAAAGAAAGAAAATCTGCTGCAGCGTGAAGTACTCGGAAATCTTAGTGGAAAGAGGGGGTGAGGTCAGTGCGTGGCTGCGTTATCCAGATAACCATTTCACTGCAAGGTCAGGCTATTCCGGGGCAAACTGGATGTGTGCCTCACAGGTGAGGATACCATTTTCTAGACCAAAGATGGGGACATATTCTCAGAATAGTTTTATGTTGAAGGAATATATTTCGATGAATTTACTTTTATATAAAATCACAAGGAACCATTTATCGTTATTAAAAATAATGAAAAGTATAGAAAATTCAGGACTGTCACCTCCCCTGTGGGAAAACTTGGTGTCTACTCTGTTTGGGGACTGGGAAAGAGCGTGGCTGGACACAGAACCCACAACCTGTTTCCAGGAAGTCCTGGTCTGGTCCTGCCTCCCCTCCACTCTCCTTGGCAGCATAAACAACAGAATGGAAAAACAGGGTCTCTCTGTAGCCCGGCCACTCGCCCCATCTACCTGGCCCTCTGTCCCTTCTTTCCCCAGGTGAAGAGTCGCAGTTTGAGATGGACATTTAAAGGACCAGCCATTGGACCGGGCAACGCCTATGGGCCCTCAGGCCCTTCTCGGGAGAAGAGTCACACCAGCCAGGCCTTATGGACATGATCACACCGAGCAGGCGTCAGGCGCGGGGTCAGCCACCCCAGCCTTCTGCTCCTTCACTCAGGACACCTGCTCCCCTTCCTCTTGGTGAGCACCAGCAGATGCCTCCCTGTGCCTCCGCCGATGCAGGGGCTGCCACCCCGAGGGGAGCAACGGCAACTCAGCAGGCCCACCCTGCAGCCGCGCCAGCCAGCGGACACACACGGGCCCTTCTGCATGACCGTCCTGCTCTTCCAGCCCCGTCCTCTGGGGCGCACCCACCCGTTCCTTAGGTTGGTGTGTGTGGGAAAGCGCCCCTCCCCCTTCCTTCCCCAAGAGAGGAAATAAAAGCCACCTGCGCCCTAGGGCCAAGAAATGGGCCCTGTCTGAGCTCTTTCCCGCTGCATGTAGTGACACCAGCGCTCTGTGTACAGGGCTTACACAGCACCCCCATACGTTCTGTCATCTGATTCTCACACTGATTCTGTCGGTAAGTAGAGCAAGTGTTACCCTCATCTTACAGCTAAGAAGACTGGCTCAAGAGAAGCTGAAGTCACACACTAGTGAATGACACTTGGGACTGAGCTTGAGATCAAGATCAAGAGACCTCGTGTTTTTCAGTGGCAAGTGCCACTTCTCTTCTGGGCTTTGTCCCACCTCCCGCCCCTCCCGAAGCCTATCAGGGGATCTGGTCACCTTCTGCCTGTGGGCCAGAGTCAAGGGAAGGGTCCAAGCCTTGGCTGGTATATTGTCCCTAACCAACACGCCCCTGCTGTTTGTTGAGTGAGCCCTTTGTGTGAGCTGTCATGGGGGACACAAACATGGGATGAGCTCTCTGCCTTGAGGATTTCACTGAGATGTGAGGTTTGCCCATAAGACAAGCAAGCATGGGAGAGACTTCATAGGATTGGTTATCAGTGAGTGGTCCATGCAGGGGCTCTCCATGGAGGTGACGCTGCTGCTGGGCCCTGAGGGTGAGTGGGCTGAGGGCAGGCAGGGCCCGGTGTTTCTGAGATCAAGTGTTACTGGAATGCACAGGGATGGGACATCAAGGAGCCCACTTTGGCCACAGCAGGCATTTTTTGTGGGTGGGAATGGCTTGTACAAATGGTCAAAGAAGGGCTAGATTTGGAGGGCCTGGAGTGCCAAGCAGAGATCTTTGCTGAGAAGCAATAGGTGTTTCTTACTGCAGGATGTGCTGGGGCCTGGATGGCTTTGACCAGGAGGGTGGCCGACGTGCATTTTACACACTGTGGGCTCATAGCACCTGTCAACCGGGCCTTTGGGTAGAGCAGTGGGCCTTCAGTGGACAGGTCCCGGGTCTGGCCTTCTCTACAGCTGACTTGGAGCCCTGTCCCCCAACAAGGACTGTGAAGTCAGCTGGAGTCCAGTGCCTGGTGGGGGCATGTGGAAGAACCTGGCTGGTGGGCCGGCCCGGTGGCGCACTGCTACAGTGCGCTGCTTGGGAAGTGCGGCAGCGCTCCCGCCAAGGGTTCGGATCCCACATACGGACCGGGTCCCACTCACTGGCTGAGCGAGGTGCAGGGGCAACACCAAGGGTTGCGATCCCGTTGCCGGTCCCCGGTCCGGTACGGGGGCAAC